AAGAATTATATGGAGTATATAATGTTAATTTAAAGATAGATTGAGTATTTGCTTTTGAAGTCTCTTAAAAAGAAACCATGTACAATATGGAAATTTTAACTAGAATAGATAGATTGTTTGGTCAAGTCTATTAGTGCAGTGCCCTTTAGGTTCTAGTTCTCCTGTCTATATATGGTCACATTTCAACAAGAGTTTAATTTATGCTGGGGACGTACGAAGCATTAACTAGTGCTTCAAATTATGTCATTGTTTTTGCCAATTATTGAAGATGATGAAGGTTTTTTCTTTGACTTTGATTTGGTTGCAGGCTGATATCTGCCATGCTTATCAGTTGTTAATAAAAGGTGGTCTCAAGGAAGAAAACATAGTTGTATTTATGTATGATGACATTGCCGACAATGAAGAGAACCCCAGGAAAGGGATTATCATCAACAGTCCTCACGGCGAGGATGTTTATAAAGGAGTTCCCAAGGTAAGTCTCTATATTAAGTGTATAACCTCGAACTTAATTAACCGGGCTAGGATTAAATTTCTGTATATTTGGGGAAATAATAATAATACTTTGGGGAATATTTTTGTATATTTCCTTTTCTGAATGATTGAACCCAGGCCGGGAACTCAAAAGGAAACAGAACCCAGGAAGATACTATTATATATTCTATGTACAGAGATAGTAGAATATTCTACTATGATATTATCGACATAAACAAGAAAAGGATATTATGAACAAAATATAGGAATATACAGTTTCCTTACACAAATCTCACGCGGAGTAATTCTATGGAGCAGGATTACACAGGGGACGATGTTACTGTTAGCAATTTTCTGGCTGTTCTCCTCGGAAACAAAACTGCTCTGACCGGTGGCAGTGGGAAGGTTGTAGATAGTGGTCCACATGATCACATATTTGTTTACTATTCTGATCACGGCGGCCCTGGTGTGCTTGGTTAGTGTTTACTTTTTAATGCTTCGTTCCGGTAGAACCATGGTGCTAAAATAGGACTTGTAACAAGTCTTATTTTACTTGGTATGGGCTTTTGTGTTTGAGGCGAGGGTCTCTTGGAAACTGCCCCTCTACTTCCAAGTAGGGGTGAGGTCCGCATATACACATCCCTCTGGACCCCACTCGTTTGTAGGACTTTATTGGGTTTGGTGTTTTTGTATTCTGATTTTCAAGTGTGTGCATATACATGAAGGTATGCCCGCCGGTCCTAATCTTTATGCAGACGAGTTGAATGCTGCCTTGAAAAAGAAGCATGCTGCCGGAGCATATAAAAGCTTGGTAATTACTTTACGAACCGTTTTATCAGTCTTTCTTCACCAATTTCCATACATTTGATCTTCACCTAAAACTCCGAATATTTCGGGTGTCCTTATTCAACTCTAGGTGTTCTATCTAGAAGCTTGCGAGTCCGGGAGCATCTTTGAGGGTATTCTTCCGCAAGGTATAAATATCTACGCAACAACGGCTTCAAATGCTGAAGAGAGTAGCTGGGGGACATACTGTCCTGGAGAGTCTCCTAGCCCTCCTCCAGAATACGAGACCTGCTTAGGTGACTTGTATAGTGTTGCCTGGATGGAAGATAGGTACCTACTTCTTCCCTTGATTGAAGTCCCTCCACATTTTATATACCCCTCCATTTTAAAAACAAGCCGGGGCGGTGTCCTACGGAAGTTAGCCCAGCCCGTGCCGACCCCACTGAGAAGACTTAAAAAAGTTCAAACCTTGTTCTCAAATGCCTCATCTTATGTCCAGCGATATATTTATTTATTTATTTTGAACTTATTTTGTATGTACCAATGCTTATAATGACTTCTATTCGTGACCAGTGACAGGCACAACCTTAGGACAGAATCTTTGAAGCAGCAATATCGCCTGGTAAGTGCTCACAAATACTTCAGGACATGTCTGGTTCAAACATTGGAATCCATATCAAAACCAAATGATTTTAGTCCAAAAATGAGTTTTGGTTTGGTGAAACTAACATATTGTTTGGTAGTAAACATGAAGTGGCCTATTTTCTTGATGGAAAGCTTATTGTATTGTTTTTTATATGCAACAACGACAACAAAATCTAGTATAATTCCAACTATGTCCTGGTCTTAGGGGTAAAGAACAAATGATGCAGATTAAGCAATCTTGTGAATAGTGAACATACATAGATTAAGGGAGTAATGCCACTACAAATGGAGTTACAACAATTTGGTGTAGTTTTATAATGCGCATATGCGATCATATTTATCTTACTTTCATAAATTATACATCCACACAGGTTAAGGAGAGAACTCTGGGCGGAAACAGTGCAATTGGATCCCACGTCATGCAATACGGAGATTTAGATGTGAGCAAGGATTCCCTTTTCCTGTATATCGGTACAAATCCTGCAAACGAGAATTTCACCTTCGTCGAGGGTGAAAACTCACTGAGATTACCAAGCAGGGCGGTGAACCAGCGTGATGCTGATCTTTTGCATTTCTGGGACAAGGTTAGCTTTGTCTCATTAAGTACTACTTTATGGTTAAAGGCCTGTTTGGAGTCCAAAACATGTTAGGAAAGAAAATACTCGTATGATGGGGAAAAAAGGAAATTCACAAGGAAAAAGAACTAAATTTCGTTAGCATATTTCTCGTGTTCCAAACATAGCCTAAGAGGGTGTTTGGGTGTGCTTGATTTTTTCTTCCGAAAACTTATAATCTTGGCATTAGAATTTTAAAAGATCTCTGAGGTACTTCTCACCTGTTTTTTCGTCTCGGAATAGAGCTAAAAAACCACACACCCAAACATTTCAAACGACTTTTAGCCAAAGCAAAAGCTGAGAATCATTTACAAAATCAATCTCTAAACCAACCGAGTATCGAATTTACAACCATTTTCTTCATCATTGGCAGTTGCGCAATGCCCCGGAAGGGTCAGCAAGGAAAGCCGAAGCTCAGAAACAGTTCACGGAGGCCATTTCGCACAGAGTGCACATTGACAACAGCATTGCACTCGTAGGGAAGCTCTTGTTTGGAATTGAGAAAGGTCCTAAGGTGCTCGGCAACATTCGTGATGCTGGCCAACCCCTCGTCGATGACTGGACCTGCCTCAAGTCATTTGTAAGTACATTACCCATTGTCGAATTACCCAAATTAGTGTCTTCACACACACATGTAGTCCCTCCGTCCCAAATTAATCGATCAAGTTTTATTTAACGCGGACCAAAGCGGGCCAAAATTCGAATAAGGAAAATTGGAGGACCACATAAAAAGGGATCGGTCCGGTCTGCAGTTTTGACCGGGTTTTGGGCCGGGTTTCGGGTTGGTCCAGGTTTGTACCAAATAATGAACACCCCTACATTTATGTACTCCCTCCGTCCCAAATTAATCGTCCCAGTTTGACTTCACGGAGTTTTAGAAAAGTGTTCAAAAGTAAAAGGTGAATGGTTGAAGCTTGATGAGGAAAGAAAAGATTGTGAACCACATATTCTGCATTTTAGTAGTAAAGTAAAGAAGTGAGACAATTATTTTGGGACAGACTAAAAAAGACACAGAGGAAGTATACACCTTTCAACAAATTTTTCAAAATTTCAATGAAGTTTTTTTAGACAGAAAGAGCAGAAAACGCGACCGTATGTAATTACTGTGTTTTGACAGGTGAGAACGTTCGAGAGACACTGCGGATCGTTGTCACAATACGGGATGAAACACATGCGGTCCATCGCTAACATGTGCAACACGGGGATAACAATGGAACAGATGGCAGAGGCGTCGGCACAAGCCTGTCCCACTCTCCCTTCCATCCCTTGGAGCTCACTCCACAGAGGGTTCAGTGCATAATGAAGTGAAAGAAGGAAATGTGTGTGTAACATAATCATCATATCATAGAAAGATAGTTTTTTCTGTGTGATGTACCAAATATGCCCCTCTTGGAACGCAAGAAAAATATATGTGAATTCCCTCTGGTCCTGTAATGGAATGGTAACCCTCTGTTTCTCCTGTAAATAGTGTCTGCTACACATATAATAGCAACGCCTTGTTTACTTTTAATTGTTCTCGTGTTTACTATTTAATGGATTATATTATACAATTATTGACATATTTACCGTTCACTGCTTATGAAAATTTAGAAGTCCTTGACAACATAAGTTCAAGTTTTGGACTAGATAAAAAGGGACACTAAACTTCGCTTTCTAACTCTTTTTATTTTCTTTCAATTTCTTTCAATTTCTTCCAACAATAATTTAAGACTTATATGATGAATATAAAATAATATTATATGTTCAAATTTACGGAGTATAACATACTACATCAAACATGAATAATAATGAAATTTTTTATTCAACTAAAATGCCAAAACAAAAGTCACCTTGTTTAGGTAGTCTTCTTAACTCATTTTTTTTACCTATTACTTATTCTTATTATAATCAGGTCAAATAAAAAATAATTTTAATTATAACTGCAATCAAATCACATCATCAAAAAATCAGATATGGCGAACGGAAGACAGCTTTAATCCCATAAATATAAGTATAATGATAGTGTGATATATAAGTATTGAGAGTGTAATATACTCCGTAATAAGTTACTCTCTTAAAATGTTTTTCCTATTTACTTTTCACACGGTCAAACTTTAATCACTTTCTTCTTTACTTATTTTCATTAGGTATTTGATAAAATAATATGGTCTTGTCACTACTTGTTTTGTAGAACTTTTGATGTAGTTTTTAAATATATAAATTTTATTTTTTAATTTTACACCTACAATAATGCAAATTGAATTGAAAATAAAATCAATCAAACTTTATTAAAAATATTGAAGGAGTAATTTATAATATGATTAGTCAATGAACAGTGGACCACCCATAAACATTGGCTATCAACGGCGACTCTCTGGTGATCAACGGCAACAGAGACACCGTGTAGTGTAACGGCATAAGAATGACAATATGAAGTCTATATTTTAGTCTTAAAGTTTCATACTCTTAGTTTAATGTTTTCATATTCTTTTTTTAAAAATATTTTATCTACACTTAGTTTTATTTGCAGCAAATTTCACATGTTTATTTTTAAAAAAAAAAGTGAAATTATTTGGGGATGGAGGCCATACACTGATACACAATACTCATATTCATCAGGAATCTGCAGAAATTTCAACAGTAGAAAACAATACTCATTTTCATCATATTAACAGAGGCAAACAGAAACCTTCTCTCAAAACGAATCACATCCAGAAGCTTAAGCAAATCACGAATCTCGTCAGAAAACTCAATTCCTACGATCTCAATCCTCCAAAACCGAAATTATTAACAATCACCTTTAACAAAATACAATATCATAGCAAGAACACACACTAGCAGATCTGTACATACAATCCAAACACATAAAATTCTCCAAATATAAACGCAAAATGAAACGAATTACAGCAGAGAGTCTCCGATCGGCGAGAAGATCAGATCCTGAGCGCGGATCGGAAGAGAAGAGATGCCAAGGCTACGGCCGCGCATGCGGCAGCTGGCGACGGAGACAGTGATCCGGCGGCGGATGTCGGAGACGGAGCAGGCGCTTCCGCCGCGACAGATGCTCCGATTAGAGAAAACACCGCGGCGGCGGCGAGTGTTAGAGCGAGTACAGTAGCTCTGGAGCCGGGAAACGCCATTGATGTCGGATTGAAAGCTGTGTGAGAACTGAGAAGGATGAGAGTATGAGACTTGAGACGAGAGGGGCACAAAGAATTAGGGCGTTGCAGCGTGGTTATGCTTTATATAGGCCCACCGGGGTGCGTTGTTCGGGCAAAAAAAGGAGAATTCGGGCAGCTGCCCGGACAAACAGCCTGGATTCGCAATTGAACTCGATGCGTAGGATCCACCAACGGCTAATTTAATTGTCATCAAATATTTAAGAATAAAAGTAAAAGATGAGCCTTGTCCCGAGGGTCCCCTCAGATCTGGTCGGATAATCATTAAAAGAGAGTAATTTGGGCTTTGATAGCAGATTGGTGGTAAAGAGTATAGCCTGCATCTGGTACTTGTAGAGACCTTATGTTTATCATAGTTACTTCTCAGCGTATTTGCCAGAAATCGAATTTGGGTCTTACCCGTTTGACATTCATTGGCTTACCAACTGCGCAATGTCCACCGGTAAATATTTAAGAATAAAATTAGGAGTACACGATTTCATCAAAAAGGTATGTGTATCCTATTTGTACACCAGAGCAACACATGTATCTATGGATCACAAACATATAATGTGTGTTGTTTGTGCTGCTCTAATATACAAATGAGCTACACCATTTTAGTGTACCTCGTCCCAATATTTAAATGTCTAGATGATGTGCACTGAGTGGAGAGGCCCTTACATGTCACTAGTGATCACTTTTTACTACATACTGTGTACATAATTATTACCCCTTCCGCCTAAAATTAACTTCCTATTTGATTATTCAGTCTCCAATGCAACACAATTTGAGTTGGAAATATAAAATTAATGTGTTTTTTTTGTGAGCCTATCGAGTTAGGATTTTACAATAAAAAAAGAAGACATTGAAGTAAAAAAATGGAGAAAAAAAAGTTGCTTGGAGGAAGAAATTAAAGATAATTAAGACATTGAAGGAAAAAAAAAGATTAAGAAGATGCAGAAGCAAACAAAACAAAAAGAGAACAAAAAAAAGGACATAACCGTAGATAGTTGGGATTTTGAAGGGTGAGTATGGCTATTTTTCAAGTCATGATGTTTAGTTATTGAGGTTATTTCCTCTTGTCCCTTGTCCCTTGTCCCTAAGTATTTATTTATTTTTATTTGATTTTTTTGATTAAAATTGGTAAATTTTGATTTTAAATTGAATAAAAATAATACTCCCTCCTTCCTAAAACTTTCTTCTCGGTTCGCAAAACGAAGAAAAATCCCAAGTTTTTTCAATCTATTTTATTTAAATATTGGTATAGAAATAAAAAATAAAACATACATATTTAAAAACTACATCAAAAGTTCAACAAAATAAGTGGTGACAAGAATATTTTATTTTATCATATAGGCCATGAAAAAACACAAATAAATATAAATTCCCGTGAAGTTGGAATAGTGATCTGGGAAGAAAGTTTTAGGACGGAGGGAGTAGTAGATATTGATACATAAATCATTTTATGAGGTTTATTACATAAAATATTATTTTATATAATTAATATACAATATTTATTTTATTTAATTATAGGCCAAAGTTTCAAAATATATGACCGAAAAAATTAAAAATGGACAAATGCTCAGGGACGGAAGTAGTATTTAAAGAAATTGCTCTATCTCTCCATTCAACACACTATTCAAAATGGGCAAATTCTTCCGTAGACCAAAGATCCATGTTCATTATATAGACCTTACTGCATGTATATTACTCCCTCCGTCCCAAAAAGAATAAGACGGTTTGACTTTTTGAGAAATTAAGGGAATGATATTTTGGTATTGACTTTCCAAAAATACCCTTGATGTGATGGGTAAAAGTAGGATGTGATGGATAAAAGTAGGATGTGATGGGTAGATTATTAGAAAAAAGTTATGATGTGATAGGTAGGATATGAAAAAGTAAGGGGTAAAAGTGGTTTTTTAATAGAAATGTAACGGACTTTACGGGACACAGTTTTTTCTAAACGTAACAAACTTTTTGGGACGGAGGGAGTATAAAAGAAGTGAGCCTTTTCAAAAAAGAAAATATCCACATATAAGCTCATTAAAAATGTTAGAAGGTCCATATTTTAAATGTGAACATTGGGATCATGTAAGCATTGCTCTTCATCTTCCTTTTTTATTTTTTCTTTGTCTCACAAACTCATTTCCTTTTCTATTAAAAAACTACTTTTACCTTTTATTTTTTCATACCCTACCTACCACATCATACATTTTTATTAAAAATTTATCTATCACATCTTATTTTTATCCATCACATCAAGGATATTTTGGGAAAATCAACACCAAAATATCTTTCCGTTAATTTTCCAAAAAGTCAATAAGGAAACTTCTTTCGGGAATGGAGGGAATATATCTTAGATATAATTAACTAATTCACCTTCATGCACATGTCATTTGATAATTGTCCAATAAATGTGTTCCAAATTCGTATTCAAATTGGAAATGGCAAATGAATGATGTGTAAGGTTATTCATGCAAATACATTACATAGGTAGGCTCCCAACTCATGCATGAAGTTCATTCCATATCATATTATCATTACAAGAATGACATTTTTAATTCTACTTATCACTACGTTTTGTTCTGCCATGGTTAAGAAAAAGCACACAAGCTACTCACTCAAAACCTTCAGGTATATACATATAAATAATTACATATTGCTAATAATTTTTTTTCTTAAATTTTATATTCATGAATAAACTATATATATATATATATATATATATATATATTGTAGAAAATAATAATGGAAAATAATTCTATATTGAATTGTCTTGGAGATTACAAAGATTCAACTCTCTTTATATAGATAGAGAGTCAAACAAATAAGTAAAGTTCTATTCATACCATAATACATAATTCTATTCCTACTGTAACAAGAATAGAAAAACTATCAAACTTTAAAATATAGTGAAATTTGCACTAAATAGGACTAAAACATAATGACTTTCCTAATGTAGGACTTAAATTTTTTTATTCCCTAAATAGGACTTAATAATGACCTTGTGGGAGGAATAATGTCCAGTAATGATAGACATTTACTTGAATAATGACTACTTGATAATGACCAAAAATCCTATATTGAGAAATAAAAACATATAGTCTTATATTGGGAAAGTCATTATGTTTTAGTCCTATTTATGTAAATTACTCTAAAATATATCCTAACATACATACATACATACATACATACATACATACATACATACATACATATACATATATATATATATACATATATATATATATATATGCATAATGCATTTTATTTATAACTATGATGGTCAGAGTGAGGATGGAGATATCATTGAATGCATTGACATCCACAAGCAGCCATCATTCAATCATCCTGCCTTAAGAAATCACAAAATCCAGGTTTATGATTAATGTTGATTAAGTTCTTATCCTATTTCAAGTGATTGCATATGTGTTGGGTTTAAGGAAACTATTTTTTTTAATTAAAGAGTATTAAATTTGAAGTTTTAAACTTTCTAAGCAATGCATGCAAAATACATTTTTGGAATAAGTTAAAGTATATCCCCGCCTTCAAATCAGCTACTCTTTTTTTTGTCTCAAAATTGACTTCTTATTTCGTTTCGTGTCATGCATATTTTTTCTTTCTATATTTGCAGTGATTAATGAGATGATTAATCATCATGTCATACGTACAATTTCATATTTATTGATCTTATCTAATTAATTATCATTATTAATATTGCAGATGACCCCAAGCTACAATCACAAACACACCAAAGAACAACAACCTATGGGAACACCTTACACCAAACACATGAACAAAGAAGACATTATTACTACTCCTCTCACTATAACAACAACACAAACATGGCACAGGAGTGGGAGTAGTTGTCCCAAAGGAACCATTCCCCTTAGAGTTGGACAAACCAAGAGAAATCAAGTGGAAAATAGGAGTACTAGAAAGAAGAAGCCTCCCATACATTATCATCACCACCATAAATTGAACGAAAATGATGAAGATGACAAGTTTTTACTCTTGCACCCAAACCGATCGGTACGTAACCGTATACTCGATCCCTCGGTCTCAAAATAAAGTTTCGAATTATCTGACCAGCAATCTCTCTATTTATAATATGAATAACTAAATCTTATTTTTTGTGACGTAAAGAGAAAAAGTCACCGTTCCTCTAATCTACTCTCCGTCCCCAAATGACACGCTTTCCTTTTTTGTCATATCCATCCCTAAACAAATTTTCTATTTTTTTCCTTAAGAAGAAATGAGTAAGCGACTAACAACGATTCTCTTTCAACAACCTTTTTAAAATCTAATTAATTTTTTAAAACTATGTGAAGTCGAACGGAATCATTTATTTTGCAACAGAGGAAGTTTAAGATTTCAATGTTATATTATGACATTCGGTCGATCTTACGATATTTTGACCAATCCCGATGTATTTCTTACTCCTCTTAACAATTTGGTGTCAAAATTTTGAGACGAAAAGAGTAATTGATTAATTGAAAAATATGGACATGTATGTGTGTGTAGTTGGCAATGTTACACACAGAAGGGATGAGTTACTTGGGAGCAAAAGGAGACATTAAAGTTTGGAATCCTCACGTAGAAAAAGAAGATTACAGCACTTCTCACGTCACACTCGCTGGTGGGCCTTATTATGATTATGAACTGGTCCAGTCTGGCTGGGCCGTCAACCCGGCCCTCTATGGGGATACCCAAACCCGATATTTCACTTATTGGACGGTATATATCTTCCTCTTCAAATTAAATTTTTACTCCATAGTACGGAGTAATTTAATTTATACTCCGTTGTAAAAAAAGCTTTATTCACAATAATTTCTAATTTTCACATTCATTCAATTTTCACTTATAATCCATATTTCTAAAAATACTCTCACCGTCTCTAAAAGATTGCCACAGTTGACTTATTTGGTCAAACTATAGCAACCTTTGACCACATATTAAATATAATTTAAAATAATTAAATACTCTGTATTATAAAAATTTAATATTTCAAAACTATATTTAAAAAAAAACTCATTTTTAGTAAATTTATATTATACTTAAATATATTGTTTCTATAATTCGAGAAGTCAAAATGAGATAATATAATTATAGAAGCCGTGCGGAGGAGTAATGACTCGTTTGGATGTGAGGCAGGCAGATGGATCAAACAAAACAGGGTTTTTTGACCTGAGCTGCCCGGGGTTTGTCCAAACTAGCCACGAAATTGCACTTGGCGCTGCCATCTATCCCATCTCATCCTCTACCGGTCTGCCCTATGAAATTACCGTATTCATTCACCAGGTCAGTATTTTAGTTATTTAAAGATATCCCGAGAATCGACCAGACAGTCTCGTGAGAGTGGGTAAATTAGGTTATGGTTCTAGTTTATGAGTAAGAATATGTCTTTAGAACGTGCAAAGGTCACATGCTTAATATGGTTGACCTTCATCGTCCTTTTCAAAGATCGATCATGGACGTTGCCCCTGACTATGCCAGCCAGGCTATGCCCACCAACATGAGTGTTTACTTATTGTAAAGAAATTGATGTATGATTCACCTCAGCTCACAGCATTTTTTTGATATTGCTGATGGTGTAAATTAGTTGGTCACAATTGAGATTCTAGACCAAGTCTAGGACGATGAGTGTTGCCGAAGGGCTAAAATCCAGTAACGAACACAAAATTGACAGGGAATATTGTGAGCAGGGACACTCGTAACCCAATTGCTATTAAAAGTGGTGAGAGATCATCCCAAATAAATATTTGTAGCTGTTTTTTTTAAATTGATAAATAATGAATGTGTTTATATTTTTTTTTAAACAAATGCAAAAGGACCCATACACGGGCAATTGGTGGCTACTATACGGAGACGCAATAGACATCGGGTATTGGCCCAGGGAGCTATTCGGCGTTTTAGAGCAGCACGCCGAGACAGTCCAGTGGGGCGGCGAGGTCTACAGCGGCCACTTGAGCGACCGGCGGCCGCACACGACGACGGAGATGGGCAGCGGAGACTTCCCGGAGATCATATTCGGGGCGTCGGGGTCGGTGAAGAGGATGAGGGTCCTCGGGAACTCGCTGGACCTGACCGTGCCGGATTGGGCCTACCCGTACGCCGACGAGTACAAGTGCTATGATTCTTATTACCTCACCGATTATGTTCCCGAGCCCGAGTTTTACTATGGAGGTCCGGGCAGGTGCCCCATTTGCCCCTAGCTTTATTAAGGCTTTGTTTGGTTTAGCATGTTTTATATATTTCCCATGAACTTTTTAGGTTATATTCTCTCTAACTTGATATGTGTGTCTGTGACAAGTTTGGTGCATATTTATTTAGCATACACAAGCTGAGAAAACTTTAAAAGAAAACATCAAGTAAAGCAAGAAAAGTGGTATGATGCAAATAGCTTTCATTTTATATGCTAGAAACGGATGGCATGTGGTAATTAATTTTTAGAAAATGAGTTATTTTCAAGAAGCTAATTTCCTTATTTTCAAATGGGCCCTAAATTAACTTTGAAGGTGAGCGGAATTTATAGAGCCGCGAAAGGGAAGAAAGGCTAAGGTCGCGTTTCTCATCCCAAAACGCGCGTCCCTTTGCACGAATTTGAGAAACAATGAGTTATATCTTTTCCGAAAATTTCTTTTAAGGAAAATTCGAAAATTAAAAGTTCAAATGAATCTTTTGACATAGCACTTTGTCTATAATAAAAAATTTTCAACCTGACCATGCCAGAGGTCTTCTGCCCCTTGAACCCTGCTCGGGGGCGCTGCTCCAAAATTGCATCGAACTAGACGGTCGATTCAGTATCTCTGTACGGTACAAGGTAACTTTTCACACTGAAAATTTAGAATCGAATATATATGCTAATATATTTCAAAAATACTCCGTAATAATTTTTTAAATATTTCTTCATTAAGTAATACCTTTATTTTAAAAAATTTGTTCAAGTTTTGTTAAGTGTAAATTATATTTGTATTTTTATTCAAGTTTTATTTTTGGTAGATTAGGTTAAAAAAATGTTAACATGCATTTGAACTACTTTTTTTTCTTTGTAAAATATTAGGTAAGTTTTGTAAACAATTCATTCTTTTTATATTTTTTTTATATATCTTAAAGTGTAAATTAGATAGGTATATATTCATCATGAATTTTAACGAAATGAACCATATCAAATTAATTTTGTGAGGATCTAGATACCTAAAGAAATTATTTGGTGCTTCTAAGAGCAACTCCAATGGGAAGGGCAAATGAAGAGGTAAGATACCATAATTGCCATATTTGCATTTTCTTCACACAAATCAAACCTCCAATGGAGAAGGTAAATCAAAAGGTAATTTACCTTCTTCTATTTTGGAGAGGTATCTTTACCTCCTCAAATACAAAAAGCTAAAATATTTGATGCCAAAGCCAAGTAATCTCCGGTGCATCGTCGATCTTCTATTTTCAAAATAAGACGGAATTGTGAGATATGAAATTAAGAAACAAATGGAGTGAAAGAGGAGTGAAGATAGAGTTTTATATTTGGGGATGATGGAGACAAAAAAGCAACCATACAGAATGGCGCTCGGACTCGTCTCTTCCCCTTGTGTGGCTGCTATGATTGCCTTAAATTCATCTCCCGATTCATTAATCTAAAATTTGTAGAAAAGGAACATTTGACAAGAAATTAAAAAGAAATAAATTTTGAAATTAACCCTAAAATGTATTTTAATTTGGGAAAAGTATGTTTATCTTTTCTAATACCCTCTATCCATTGGAATCAAATATCTTTTTAGAATATAATCAGGGAGGTAAAAGATTAAAATACTTCTTTTTTGTGCTCGCCATCATTCAAAGAAAACCGAAAAATCGTACTCCGTATCACCGTATGACGGAGTTATTCGAGTTCACTAGCTAGTCTCCGCAATCCGCTATTCACCGGTCACTTCCCGGCGTCTGCCGGAAGACATCAACGGTGGCGCAACTCGTATCGCACAAGCTCACGGTAGAAATGGCGAAAAAACCAGGTATAGTGCGTGTATGGATATATATCATTAGAATTTTCGCGAATTCATTTCTGTCTGGTTTTTTGTGGTGATTTTGTGAGGAATCGATCTCTCACCGTGTTAAGCTATGAACCTAATCATACGGTGTTTAATTTTCAATAATGAACTTTGAGCTTTGAAATGACTGCTTCTCTGCGTTTAGTTATGGCCTATAGGTTTGATAGGTTTGATGAATACAACCGTCGAAGCTTTCTCAATTCTGCATTCATATTTTTTTCTGATTAATTACTATTCGGCGTGGTGGATTCGTGCTCATTAATGCATATGAACTACATTTTTGACTCGGATCCCTTTTTGTAGTTGTTACTTTGTGATAGAATTTGGGATGGGTATGGACAACTGGATTAATAAGACACTTGGGCTGATTAAAAACCCTAAACGCAAATTAGTTTACTCTTGGACTTCCGATGTGGGATGCACTCTAACACTCCCCCTCAAGTGGACAACCGGGTCATTTTGAATCTAACCGGTTGACCACTTGCAAATGGAGTATGTATTCCCTTAATTGTTTTTTGAGCGCCAACACCTAAAGGACCACTACCCGCTGGGTATGGACTTCCAGACGAGCAATCGTGTTATACGGGCCACAGGCCGTTGGATACATACTCCATACGGACAATTGGGCTAAAGACTAACGGGCCGCTAGGAATGAACGTCTAGACGGACACCTTGACAAACGAGGTGGGCCAAAAACTGCTCTGATACCATGATAAAATTTGGGATGGGTATGGACAACTGGATTGGGTAATAAGACACTTGGGTTGAACCATATTAAAAGATTGAATCCAATCGTTTAGTTAGTTTAACTCAAGAGCTTGTATACCGGATTATTTTACTCTTGGACTTTCGATGTGGGATGCACTCTAACATTTTGTGATCCAATTACAAAAATACCATTTGCGATTGTTCGTGTCTGTGAAAATGAAAATGAAGATTTGTTTGAAGTGAAATGTGAATTTGAAGTGCATTGATTCTAATTTCCTCCCAGGAGAAGGGGTACAAGAGGATGAAAACCAATTGCCTTCCATTCCTGTACACATTGTTACTCGAGCAGACCAGCTTCCTGTTGAATTCTTGGAGCCTTATCCCGGGAGCCAGTTAGCGGTTGGTTTTGATTGTGAGGGTGTTGATCTTTGCCGCAATGGGGCTCTGTGTATAATGCAGGTAACCTTATTTTGCCATTATCATTGTGAAATGTGAATGCATTCTACAACACATTTTTTGCTTAGCTCACATTTGGTAGCATAAGAAAATACAAGTAGCTTTTAGACTTACTTGGTTGGAAGGAATGTAACCAAATGATTTTCCTCCTTGCATATTCAGAAAACAGAGCAATTTTAGTTGAATAACCCTTGCCAAAGTGGTACTTAATTATTCAGTTTATACGTGTGCTACAGTTCTTATTCTTGAAATATTAAGATTCAGTGAAACATGGGCCTAAAAATTGAAATGTTTGTGAAAATTTGTACAAAGTGGAAGTTAATTTTTTGTTAGCCAAAGGTTGTGGCTAGTTATGATGCGATGCACAACTAATCATTTTTGCAACAAGTAAAAATATGTATTTCCCCATAATTTATTATTATTATTATTATTATTATTATTATTATTATTATTATGATGATCGGGGGATCTGATCCCTCATTCTTTTTGGCTGGTTATTGTTTTCACTAATATCCATGGCTTTTATTGTCATTGCAAAATGTTAAAGTACTTTGAAGTATGTAGCCCAGACATATTATGACAGACGCACATATCTTCATCATCTAAATCCCGACCATGTTAACGTCACTTGCATGATACTTATAGTATCAGTTAAGTGCTTTAAATTACTTAACACTATAAATGCATGCAAAAATAATCGAGAGAAAATTATAGGTAGATGCCCTTTATGTGTGTGTCTACGTTGATTAGAGCACTCACTCTTTCTCTTTCTTTTTTTCCTTTTTCTTCACAGATCGCCTTTCCAGATGCAATATATTTGGTTGATGCAATTGAAGGAGGGGAGTCTTTGATTCAAGCTTGTAAGCCTGCACTTGAATCTAGTTACATCACCAAAGTTATTCATGACTGCAAACGAGATAGTGAGGTCTATTCTCTTTTCATAGCTATATTTATGTTTGAATGATGAACACATCATGATTGGTGCTATTTATGATTTGTACTTTGCAGGCATTGTATTTTCAGTTTGGTATCAAGCTGCAAAATGTTGTGGATACGCAGGCAAGTATTTTTCAATGAAAGGATGTGAATGCAAGTACTTTGGAAACTTAAAGCCCGTTTGGTGAACCCGTTTTTGGCGTATATCGGTATATGCAGGTGTTTTCACCAAACACTAACTTAGTTCTCTGCATTGGCTGAATTCGCTGAGAATGGAAAAAGTAGTATATGGAATTTTTTTTCAATTCAGTGACTGAAATTAAAAAAATACATTTCAACCTTCATTTTTAGATATTATTGTCAAATTGTTGTTGCATTTAATTTTCATAGAACTTCGACTCTAGGGGAATAAGTTAAACTTTTTCACAATGTTTAACAGATTGCCTATGCTTTAATCAAAGAGCAAGAAGGAAAAACAAGAATTCCAGATGACTACATCTCATTTGTTAGTCTTCTTGCTGACCCATGTTATTGTGGTAAACAGTTTATTGTCAATATCTCCTTTTTTGTTCCTTTGTTTTTTGTATCTATTTTTAGTGTTTAAATAGGCAGAAATATCTTGAAACTTCTTAATAACCATAGCAAGATCTAATAGGTCAACATTGAGCATCAGAAAATAAGAACAAAAACTATTTGGTTTCTAATAATTGATGCAGTTTGTGAGCATTAGATCTGTGGACCTTGAATTTCTTGTAATGTTTCCCTTTATTACTTGGAATTTCACACTGCACAGGAATATCTTATGATGAGAAAGAAGAAGTGCGAGTTCTTCTGAGGCAGGTTGGTGTGAAATCTTTGTTTTATGGCTTTCTACATTTAAACCAAACAATCTATTAATTTGTTATACAATAATCCCCGTCTAAGACAAAATATATTTTACTTTATTTGCTTTATTTTTAATACTTATCTTGTAAATTATAATAGACTTAAAATACACAATATTACCTTAGGACATCTGAACATGTGAAATCAATGAATCAATCCTAACGCCATCATGAAGGCCACAACAGCTCTGGAGAGTTTGTCTAAACTTTTGTCTTGATTGATTCATGTCAACGAGGATATGCTAATATTTGCCTGTTACCAATAACAACAATCTTTAGAAAATATGAATCAAATATCTAAAATATTTGTAAAATCTAGAATATACAAAATAATTTGCGCACGCGCACACACACACACTGTCTAGAAGATCTTTTAGTAAAAATAAGGCCAGTATAATCTTCTTTAACTGATTATTCAATTACTATAATCTTCTATCCTTTTTCAATCTCCTAATCATTTACACTATGTTTAGTTCAAGGAATTTGAGAGGGAAAGGAAAAGAAAAGGAGAAAGAAAACATGTTTCTTGTTTGGTTAGAAAGGAAAAGAAAAGAAAAACCGAAGGAAACGAAATTGAGAAGGCAAAATGTAATAAGAGTTGAGGGGTAAGGTTTGCGTTCACACATCCTCCCTACACCCTACGTTTGTGGGACTTAACTTGGTTGTTGTTGTTGTTGTTGTTGTTGTTGTTGCTGCTGTTGTAAGGAGCAAGTATTGTATCTAAGATTCTTATATGTCTTAATTATAAAAAAAACTTATCCCTTACTTTTCATGATGAATCCTATGCACATTTCCAGGATCCTAAATTTTGGGAATACAGACCATTGTCCGAACTGATGGTCCGTGCTGCTGCAGATGATGTTCGGTATCTTCTTAGCATATATCATAAGATGATAGAAAAGTTGAATGAAAGGTCTCTGTGGCTTCTTTCCCTCCGTGGTGCACTTTATTGTCGTTGTTTCTGCATGACTGATAATGACTATTCAGATTGGCCTCCTCTTCCCTTGCCTCCAGGTATACCTTCCACACACAATTTATATGATGTATACTCCCTCAGTCCCCAATTAGGTTCCCACATTTCTTTTTAGAACTACCAAATTAAGTTCCCACTTCCCAAAAAAGTGTTGAGCTGTAACATCAACCAATCATTAATTGAGGGGCATATTTGGAAAGCCAACAACAACAAACCTAGTATAGTCCCAACTATGTAGGGGTCTGGGGTCAAGATTTACGCAATCTTAATTCTCATCTTATTGGAATGGAGAGGCTTTTTCCATTAGACCCTTGATGCAATGTTGCATTTGGAAAGTCAACACACAAAAATTGTGTATCAAATGTAAACTTCATTTGGGAACTGAGGGAGTATATAATAGCAATCTTAGTGTGAGAGAGGCTCTCTCTAAATATTGGCATGTGAAATGAAAAATATGAAACTGTTGTAAGAAAATAAATAAAAGTGAAATCCATCTATTTGCAGAAAATATTATTGCCGACGATGGGTCCACTTATGAGGAAGAATGCTTGTCTGTTCTTGATGTCCCACCTGGTCAGATGGGACGTATCATTGGAAGAAAGGGAGCTTCTATTCTCGCTATAAAGGAATCATGCAAGTATGTATTTGACACTTCTTTTTCTTTTAAAGAGTTCACAATGCATAGTAGTAATTATAATGGATTCCATTTCATTAAGATAATTGTTATACAAATTTTAGAGTATAGGTGAAATATCTCCCTTTGTGTCATTTTATAGGACTTACTACAAATTATTATAGAGCATATTTCTCAACTCTTACAATCTCCACATTAAGTTTTTCTTTTGTGTGGTAGAACTTATAAGGAGGTAGTCGATCTCATTGAATTGGGATTAAGGTTTGTTAGTAGTTGTTGTTAGAGCTTTTGAGATTTTAGCAATATGGATAACAATGTGAAAATGGTAGCAAGGTTTGAACTTAAATATTACAACGACAAACCCATTACAATCTAAACCACGTTGGGGTGCGGGGGTCAAGATCTACGCAACCTTACCCCTGTAAGATATAAAGATGTTATTTTGTGCGCATTTACTTCCCAAAACGTCACAAAAAATAAGAAGCAATGCAAGTTCAATTTTCCATTTTGATCTAATCCATTATATATCCGAAGCTAGAACATTGTCAAAGTTAACTTCTTTAGCTCCATTAGCAACGGACGATGAACTTGTATATATTATAAGCTATCAATGTATCTTCCTTTTTAGATACATAAGAAGTATTCTTGCTGCGTAATCTGACCATTTGTTGTGTGTATTACACATCCAGTGCTGAAATACACATGGGAGGTGATCGGGGCCCCCCTGACAAGGTTGGTATTGTCAAAGCCGATTTGTTTTTTCTCATACAATATATCTCATCCTCTAATAACTCTCCACACAACGGTATTCTGCACTCTCATGCTGAGAGTGCAAATTGCATCATCGTCCGGAAAAAGGGTTACGTTTTGTATATGTTATGTTGTAATTTGCACTTTCAAGGTGAGAGTCGACATAGCATTTCTGGACAGAAAAAAGTTATTTTTTTAATAAATATGTTATGGTGGGTGCAGGTTTTCATAATTGGACCTGTGAGCCAAGTGAAGAAAGCTGAGGCTATTCTTAGAGGAAGACTACTAGGTCCTTCTACTTTTCATTAATCTCTCTTTCTCTCATGCATCTCAGCAAGTACTGCTATGAACTCTCCAAAAAAAACCCAAAAAAAAAACAAAAAAAAATTAAAAAAAAAACTTAAAACAAAAAAGACAATGTGACTCACTCTTTATGAAATTCCCCTCTACTCTACATGCATAATGGTATCATTTGACCTTTATAATAAAGGCATGTTGGGTTGGCAATTGGCATCTGCTCTTTTTTTTCTTTTCTTTTATTTCTATGAATGTGCAAATTTTCCAACTCAAAAGCCCCCCCC